TAACTCAAATACGAGTTAATTATTGAAACTTAAGTTAGGATCATGAAATCGGCACTAGAAGTCGTACTTATAAATTTTGTTTTGTTTCCGAACGAACTTTATAACTTAAGTATTTTGACGGGAAAATGATATCTTGAATTACGTTGGAAATGTAATTTGTTGTAGTTCATTAGTTAATTAATTGATACCCGTAGATGAGAAGTTGAGTAATCGCGTTTGTTCCAAGTTAGTTATTGTTGTAATAGCCTATAGAGATATACATACATATATCGTAGATAACATGGAAGGAATTACAAATATATATATACATGGGTTAGGATATAGTTGGATAAAGGAAGTGTGAAAAGGAAGGAACTAGAGTGAATTAACGTTAGGTCAGATTTTATTTATGGTAAGTTAAACTGGATTAAGGTGGAGAAAAATTACTACTTCAATTAGATGGAGTTAAAAGATCAATTGTATCTAAATTGTTGTGTGTATTATGACTTGAAAACAGACATTACATTAGTGGTTGCTTGACATGCAACATCGAGTACAAATTTTTAATGGATATATGAATGTAAGCAAATATGCATTTATATAATATGTAAACTATTATATAATTATTTATAGAAATTATTATTAGAAATTAAATATTTGTAATCCAAACCTTAAATAAATGTTATTGGCGCCCTTTTTTCCAAATATATAAAAATTAAATTTCTGTTTTGAATTCAGCCATGTACACTTTTAAAAAAATAATGATGGAAAGAAATAAAAAATTATCAAATTACTGAACTTGAATTTGACCCGTAACTGAATTAATCAGCATTGAAATATTTAGATTCTTTACGAAATGGGACTGACTCAGAGGCTCAAATGGTAGTCTATTAATAACATCTGATTATGTAAGCAATATGGGTCTGTTTTCCAGAAACGGTTTAGATTTACAAGGTAACTATAATGAAATATTTACTCAGAAATTGGTTTAATAACCACAATTCGAAGAATAAATTTGTTTATATTTTTGTTTTTATACTGCAAGTGCGCTTTTTAAAACATATTTTAAGTCGGGAATAGATTTTAGGAAACATTAATTCTTATACGATTTATTATTTAAAATATTTTTATTTTTCGTTTTAATCTTAAAAAATATCCATAAAATGTCCATAAGAATTCAAATCTCTGAAAACAATCCCACTATTGTCTCCGTAAGTCTACATCGAATTAGCATAACCAATGACGTAACTGCAGAAAACAATACACCAATAAAAACTTACATTCATACATACATATTTATAAGGAAATATGAAACAACAGACTGAACTCACCATCACATCACATCACATCGCTATCACCATTCACACCTTTCGGCAAGAGACCACAAATTAAATTCCCACCACTTTTTTCCCGAAGATTTTGTGTGGCGATTAAAAGTAAGGAATTTAATTGCAGTAAATGCTATTTGCAATTTGTTTTTGTTGTATTTGTTGTACTTCAGTGCAATTGTACTTGCTGCATGTAAGAACAAGGTACATTGAAGCGACCTTGAAGTCGGTCGGTTGACTGCGATATGACATCATCAGTTAAGTTATGAAGTTGTACTTTCAAGACACACAACATTACAGCCAGCAAAAAAAGAACTTACGCTTTTGTTGCAAAGCTTGTTTGCATGGTTGTTGTTGTTTTTGATGTTGCCATCATAAAGTTTTGTTCGCGTTTAAGTAAATCACATTTTAAAGTCGTTTTAATAAATTATTTGTGCCTGCTGCAATTAACTGATCAGCAAATATAAAAACAACAAAAGTACTAATGACAACTAAAGCAACAATAACAAAAATAGAATAACAAATAACCAAAAAAAAAAATGGAAAAAACTTACTAACACGGAGCACACACTCACTCAAGCGTCGCAAAATAAACCAACCAAAAAAAATGAAGAACGCAAAAAAATGATTTTAATAAAAAGAGCAAAAAATTTAATGAATAATGAAAAAGCAAAGAAGTTTGTTTGTAGAATACACAATGTATAATACATATATGGTATAAACCTATTTATACATGTATACATATGTATATTTATACAAATGTATATATCAATGAATGTGGAAAATATATGTATGTTCCCTCTATGATTTGTTTGAAAAGAGTTAAAAGGTGTAAAAAACAAGCTGCGTGTTGGCAAATGCAGCAAAAACTTTATTGTGTAAATTTAAGTTTTGCTTGTGTTATTACACAAAATTAAACTTTAGCCGAGAATTCAGAAGATGCTGTATGTGAGTACATGTGTATGTAACATACTTGTTTCTAAACAAAAAAACACAATAACAACAATGACTTCAGTTTTGTCGTAAATCAAGACTTGGCATCTTTGAGGCGATTTATTAAACATATGCGCACATTGAGTTCTGTGTTGCTGAGTGGCTTATACACATATTGCAGCAACATTTTAAAATTTTTTGTTGACGTAAACAATGTATACTCGAAAATGTATTTTGTTTATGTTTAGCAACTCCTTAAAGCCGGTTTTTGTTTTTTTTTACTAACTTATAAAAATATATACAGAATACTCTTAATTAAAAAAACGAGATTTTTGTTTAGACTTTATATATTGTATATAAATTCTTTCTTTTTTATTGTACATATGTAAACTATCTGAAATAAGTAGACAGAATAACGAAAAAATGAAAATAAATTTATAATCTAAATTTATGACCTTCGCTATGGTACAATATATGCGTCATCAATATCTAGTTTGAGTATTCTAAGCTTTAATTTAGAACTCAAACATTTGAAATTAATAAAATATGTAAGCCACTCTTCTTGCCCTTCGTCTGTGTAAAAGCGTTTTGAATAATAATTCTGTGGTTTTTGCGTTTTAAAAATTTTTAATTCACAGAAAAAAACCTTCTACGCGCTCTGAACTGTAAGTTTGTTTTTAAATGATGATGCGTAATATCTACTTTTTATATTTAAGAACATATTTAACAAATGTATCTTATTATATAAAAATCTTGTGTCATTATATTCCTACACGCCCATTCTTAAAACCGGTTAACCGATTTTAGGAATATGTATGGTTGGTTCCCACTTCAAAAATGGGATAACGTTGGATCCGGTGGGTGGACAGGTGGTGCTGTTGTTAAGACAACAAAAATTTTTAACGAATTTTTTTTTTATTTTTTTTGTAAATTCCTTATCCAAAAATACATACTATAACAAATTTTGAGTTCCCTGCAAGCTCCGTTCAATATTGTAAAACTGATTTTAAGTGTTTTATATAGAAAAAAATGGTTGAATAAATTAAGAATTAAATTTTGTAGAAATATTTTAATAGGTGAAAAAGTTTTTCCTATAAGAACTTGTGTTGGAACCATAACCGTTCTGGATGAAATTGCACTATTATAAATATTATACACATATAAATCACATACCCAATCTGGACTTAATCGGATTATATACTTTTTATGGTAACGATATGTCCCATTGGTAAACAGAATGTTATCATTTGATAAATATTTATGATCTGTTGATTTAATATAACTTAAAACGTGTTAGACTATTGTACATTTATATTGTCATACTATGTGTAAGGTAGGTATTGCCATGATTGCTTTGTTAGCGGGTTGGCCGTTCTTCGCAAAAAGTTCAAGATATAAAAAGATAAAAAAAGTTAAATCCAAAAGAGTTAAAAGACCTTTCATCTTTATCAATGAACAGTCCGACAAACTGTCAAAAAAATACTTTTGTCAACCTATTTCTTCTGGAAGTCAGAGTCGGGCATTTACAGAGAAAATGCTTAATACTTTCTTTTTCTTGTAAGTATCTACAACTTTTGTAATGAGTATTAAAGAGAATGCGTAGTTTCTCTGCGTAGTTTCCTATACACCAGTGAACAGAAAAATCTGCAGTGAGCCTTGCGGTATTCACGCGATCCTGGTCGAGCAGTAAATCGCTAATACTGAGCACTTGATACGGCCAAGTCAGATTCATCATTTATAATGTATATGTATCAGGTATCATTTTGTGGATTATGTTTTCCGTTGCTGCTAAACTAAATATATGATCATATATAAGACTTTGTCTTGATTTTTAATATAACTTCCGCAATCCGATTGTCAAAGCAAACCGGATTCACCCCAATTTTAATGGATCTGAATTAGTGGAAGTCTACTGTAGCTCGAAACTTTTGAAGTCTTGTATTTTTTTGTTATCTTCTTATAAAAGTCTAAAAGTCTAATAGAACTATAAATTCCTAAACTTGACTCTGATACCTGTGACCCTCACATTTATTTATAATTTAACTTAATTTGCAATGTAAAAATTTATAACAGAATTTAAAATATTTAAGCAAATTACTGTGTCTTCTATGGAGACCCTGCTGTCCACTGTACAGCTGTACACTTCAGTTAATTAATAATGATTACAAAAAATTAAAATATTAAATAATTAAGAAATTCAAGCAAAAAAAATTTAATAGAATTTCAAGAATAAATTCTATTCAAAATAACTGCGCCATTGCGCTAATGTGGTCATCTCAGCCGCCCCTGCAACGAGCCGTGCCAGTTGACGAGATGCAATTGGCATGCGGTAGACTTCATACTTATTTTAATTGCATTACTTTTTCGCCAAATAGTCGTACTCGCATACGTGTATCTTTGTATGTCGCCGTATGTTTGTAAGTAAATTAATGAATGAACTTACTTGAATGCATACTAGACTTGGAGTTAGTACACTTACTGTAGTTTGAACTGATTTTGAATTGTGATTTTGAATGGCATTTGCGTTAGTGGCCATGGCAGTGCGAAGTATCTACACTTACGAAATTTAAAGTATCTTTTTATTTTATTTTGAATTTATTTCATTTCTGCCTTTCTTGTACTTATAATTTCTTTTAATTAAGATGACGTTGTTGTCAGTTGATCTCCTCAACGATAAATTGACAGTTTCTATTTGTTACTTTGAGTGGGGTTTGCTGTTGGAAATTCATTATTAAAATATCTCTTTTGTTCGCGTTTCTATTATTTTTAGTTGTTGTTGGCTATTAATTTTGCTTTATACAATTTACGCTTGAATTTCTCTAAAATGAAAAAATATCTACAATAAACTAGAAATTCTTGGCATGTGATGTCATTAGCGTTTGTTTTGAATTTTGACTGTTAAACACGACATGAGTTTCACTCGTATGCTTTTATAGAAGCACTGAACCCCAGCAGAAAACAAATGAAATTCGAAAAAAGTCTATATTTCAAAATATATTGCAATAAACAAATAACTAAAAGTTATAAAAATTTTAAAAATTTTAAAAATATTTTTTGTACCATTAATTGTAATAAAATAAAGTTGTCTTAAATAAAATTCTTATATTTTTTTTTTAAATTCTTATAAGCAACAAAATTACAGAAATTAGTTTTAGAAGTTTAATTCTGTTGAGTTAGCATTTATTACGATTAGTAGATTAAAACTGGCTGGTTTTATTGTGAAGATGTCGGAAACCACACCACAGCGCAACATTTTTACCAGCTACGTACTAAGAAACAGTAGTAGAGGACATTTACAAAGAGTATGGATGCTTGGAGTAAACAATAATCTTCTGAGAATAGGCAGCAATTATATTGAAAATAAATGCAAAAATCAGCAAGATTGTTAGGAGATCATGTGATAGGCTTAGATCCATTGATAAATATTACACCACGACTGAAAAAAATGATGAACAAATATTAAATAAATCTATTCAGCGTATTATGCACTATGGTTTTTCTTAACTGAATTGTGTAGTTTTTATGCAAAATGTGACTTAAACATACCATAAGTGCTGAGTTACTGTTAAAATGTGTAAAAAACGGAAAAATTCATTAAATGGAATTTCTACCAAATTTTTTTCACAGAATTCGCAAAAGATTTCTGCTATGATATTACAGTGAGGAACTAGAGCAACTGCTCGAGTCTACAGATTTAACTTTTTCGCTCCAGTGTTATTGCTGAATTTCTCTGTTTATACTGTTTTGCTGTGATTTGGAGCCTTTTAGTTTCTTCTGGTCACTGGTATATAGGAGCCCACCTAGAGAAAGTGCGCCTTCCGTTCAACATTAATTGTAGAAGTTGTGGCAACTTGGCCGAGGAAGAGATAAAAACCCTATTTTAGCAATTTTTTAGTTTTGGTTTTGAATAGATTTTTAGTAAAACACTTTCCTACTTTTGGATTTGGTTTACCTATAGAGAAATCCTGAATGAAATATAAAACGATAAATAATTGCTTATTATGAAAGGTAGAATAGTTACTCCCAATGGGTCACTGCAACCAACCTACCATGGCACTCATTGAACTTCCTCACCATGACAAAGCAGCTTTTTCCGAAGGGAATATTTTACAAATTTTTTATTCATAATAATAATACCAAAAACTATTATAATAGTGAGTGTTAGGTTGTATAAACTTCTTGGTAAAAAATTAGTAGTTTGTACAAACTTCGTATTGCGAATAGATTTTTAATTCCATATCTCTCTCTCTTTCTCTCTCGTTTTTTTCAGTATTTGATATTAAGTTTATTTTGTTATATTAAAGTCTTATATATCTTGATGACGTGAATTTGATTTGACCATATAGATATAATTTGACAAACACGACAAAATTAAATTAAAAATTATAGATACTTTTAAATATTTATACGTGTATTTTAAGAACAATCACTTTTATGTTGATTGATGCGAGTTTAGTAAGTAAAAAAAATTAAAAATATTATGTCATTTTTTATTAAAAGTTGTTTATTTAATTAAAATTTGCTGATCATTAGCAATTAACTTGAAGCTATGATATAATGGCCTAAGAAAATCAAGCAAAATTTTATTTATTTTTTTATTATTTTTTTAATATTATTTTATATTACTCTCTTAAGTTCATAATTTTAAAATTATATGAATATATCCGAAAACAATTTTAAGTTTTATACCAAACAATAGCAATAGAAATATTGTTCTATAAAATATGGATCCATTACATCAAAGATGCATTCTTACTATTGAAAGAAACCTTAAATTACTTAACAGTCATCAATGATTCCGGGTTTTTTATTTGTATTTGAGAATAAAAATTGCGATTAAAGTTATTTATGTTCAAATCAATGGATTATTTTAAGACTGAACAAAATTTGGTTGTAAACGGATCAGCGGGTTAGTTACCCGATTCTACTTCATTTTGCTACATGACACATAAGAATGTTTAAGCGATTCTTTTGCTCTGTGGTTCTAGTCTCATGTTCCTGTGTGTGATATTTTCACCTCAGAAGTATTCACGGAAAAATGAATCCAACAACAGTAATTTCAAACCCCCAATAGAGCGTGTCCAGGGCCTAAAATGTTTAATCTTAAATTAAATTTTTGTGATAATTCTTTACTTTCTGTCGACAAGGGTAAAAGGTATAGGTAAATTAAAAAGATCTTTCCATCTTTTCTCCTGCTTTCTTTGACTTGAACTGATTACTTTATTTCTAGCCTTTTTTATCCTCATTTTTCTTTCTATTTTTCTCTCTCTCTCTCCATCTTTACGTTTCCTTTATTTTGCTCCATTTTTTCCTACAATGGTTAGAGATTGGTTCGACAAGAGGCACAGCATAATTTATTTATAATCCCATAAAATTGAAAGAGTCAAATTCATATATCTGTTAATATGTTCAGATGAAAAAAATGTTACAAAATTACTACAA